AATCCTGTAATCATGTCAAATTTCAATGACAATATTCAAAACACTGGCTTATTTGATATGGGATATAGTGGACCTGCCTTCACCTGGAGAAGGAAGAACTTGTGTGAGAGACTGGATAGAGTCTTAGCAAATGACCACGGGATCCAGAATTTTTTGCAAACTACTATCACCCATTTAAGCCTTGCTGGATCAGATCATAGACCTTTGGTTATAACCATTGGCCCAAAGAGCTGCTGTCAGAAGGGTGCTTTCAGATACCTAAATTTTTGGTCACAGCATAAGGACTTCTTGAAAGTTGTTAAGGAGAACTGGAAAAATGAGTCACATTCTGATCCTTTCATCTGCTTGTGGCAAAAACAAAAAAAGGTTGGCACTGCCCTCAAAAAGTGGAGCTGGAACACTTTTGGAGATCTGATGAAGGCTGTGGATAAGGCTGAACAGGAACTGTAGGATCTGGAGGAGGAGCACAGCAAAAGAAACATTGGTGATAACTCCCTTTTAGAGGCCAATGAGAAAGTTCTTGTTGCCATAAATTGACAAGAACATTTCCTTAAACAAAAAGCTTCCAAAACCAAATTTACTGAAGGGGATAGGAACACAAAATTCTACCATGCTTGCATCAATTATCAGAGGAAATGCAACGCCATTCACTGTATTAAAGATCAGAATGGTAACTGGCTTAGGAAGGAGGAGGAGATTGCTGAAAGTTCTTTGTCATATTGCCAACAACCCATGAAGGATGATACTACAGATAGAGGTCATATAAACAAACACCTATTCTCAGAAAGCAAAAAATTTACTGCCAATTTAAAGCTGACCGATATTCCTGAGGAGGAGGAGATTAAGAGAGCCTTGATGTCTATTGACAACAGCAAATCAGCTGGTCCTGATGGATTTACTGCAGACTTCTACAAGAAAGCTTGGGGGGAAGTCAAGGTGGAAACCATACAAGGCATTCAACACTTTTTCAAAGGCCATCCTCTCCATAATTATTTCAATGCTTCTTCCATTGTTTTCATTCCAAAGAATTCTATTAAAATCTGCTGGAAACATTTCAGAACTATAAGCCTTACCAATGTGATCAGCAAAATCATCAGTACTGGTGGACAGACTCCAACCAGTTCTACCCCAACTTATCAGCATAAATCAAGCAGCTTTTGTGAAATGGAGAAGTATAGGAGACCAAATTTTAATAGCCCAAGAACTCTTACAAGATTTGGAGAGACCTTGCAGAGGAGGAAATGTCATTTACAAGTTGGACTTACAGAAGGCTTATGATATGGTCAATTGGGATTTCATCATGGAATGTTTGGAGGCTAGAGGTTTCTCAATAGAATTCTGCCAGATCATTAAAAGATGGTTAGAGGCCAATGCCAACTCAATCCTCATAAATGGGAAAGCTAATGGTTTTTTCCAAGCAAGTAGAGGCCTTAAACATGGTGACCCTCTCTCCTCAACTATTTTCATTATGGTCTTAGATTATTTCTCAAAACTCATAGATGGCCAAGGAAAAAGGAACAGGCTTAATGTCTATCACAATAAGGCTAAGATGGATATAAGCCACTTGATTTATGCTGATGACATCCT